CAAAATATAGTACATATATTTATAACCTACATTTAAATTTGGGAAATACTGATTAAAAATACTACACAGATGTCCTAACAAAATATTTGTAAGTGTGGACCATTTTCCAAGATACAAAATTTAAGTACATTATCTTTACTGTATATAAAAGCATGAAGCTTTCCTCCAAAGGTTATCTTGAAACCATGGAAAAAACAATTTCTAAATGTTATTCTAAACGGAAGTATATTTACAAAGTACATCTACATACTATATATTGATTATATATATGCATATTTACATAGTTGTATAATTATACAGTACAAGTAAAAAATAATAAATGTGAATAATACACGATCAGGAGAGTGGGAAGAAGAACAGGGAAGGGAAGAGGAGGATTTTAGTGTTATTGTAGAAATTTAAATGTATTAAAAGAGATATCTTATACCAAATTTTAAAAACTATTAAAAATAGTACATGACACTTATTATATAACTTACATAACATGATACTTGTTATATAACAAGTCTGTATGTGTGATTTTTTTTTTTTTTTTTCTGAGATTGGGTCTGTCTCTTTCACCTAGGCTACAGTACAGTGGCGCAATCATGGTTCACTGCAGCTTCAATCTCCTGGATTTAACCGACACTCCAGCCTCAGCCTCCAGAGGAGCTGACACTACAGGTGCAAATTTTTAAATATATATTTTTTTTTCTGTAGAGATGGGATCTCACTATGATGCCCAGGCTGGTCTTGAACTCCTTGACTCAAGCAGTCCTCCCGCCCTGGCCTCCCAAAGTGCCAGGATTACAGGCATGAGCCACCACTCCCAGTCTGAAATATTTTACAATTTAACATGTACTTGCTTTAACTTTATAAAAAGAGTTGTAAGGTAATAAGAGTACTTATAGTTTATAGCTGTAACTGTATAGCTTATAACTGTATAGCTTATAACTGTAGCTTATAAGCTTAGAACTATAGCTTATAACTTATAAATGCAAGCTTATAGCTTATAACTATAGCTTGAGTAGTGAGTTTCAAATTCCCTGATCACATATTTAAAGGAAATTTTTAAAAGCATGTGTTCATAGGTTCTGTCTTTTCGGTTGGATGTTCTCAGTGTCGTGTTGGGAAAGCCAGGTTGAAGAAGATACAAAGACACTGTAAAAAGTTCAGGTTCTCTTCACGAGCTCTAGTTAGTGTGATTATAGCTAACACATTAATTAAAGATCATTAGCCAAACAGCAAGTTATAAACTGAGATTGCACAAAAGCAGCAAATGAGGTTGAATCAACTCAGAGGCAAGAATCTTTTTTGAAAACTCAGAATTCTAGATTAGATGAAAGGATGCAGGAAAATAAGCAGAAAGCAAGACGACAGAGAGGAGTCATATGGCAGAGCAACAGTGGGTGCTAGAAAGTTGGGGCATGAGTGCAGAGTTGACAACTAGAGACCAAACAGGAAATAGCTGATAAAAAGAGAAAATATTTTAGAGGCATTGAGAATGTAAAAGAATCTAAACTGTAAACTGGGGAGAGAGAACATAATAGAAAGATCCAGATTCTAATACCATCTTATGAGTTCAATTTTAGAAAAATTTCAACTCTGATTACTAAGCAGACGTGTGATGCTAGTATAGTCCATCAAATTCTTAAATCCTCTATTAGCTCTTGAAATAGAATAGAGTAGGCTGAAGGTGAAGAAAGTTTGAAGTTGAAATTCCAAATAAATATTCTGGAGCTGCTACAATTGGGATATTCTATTTATTTTGGTCAGGCATTGAAACCTAGTGTTTGCCCAAGATTGTAATAAACAGTGCAACAGCCCTACAAGAGAATTCAGCCTCCACAGTCTAATATAATTGTATTTATGTACATTTTTTAAAACTTGTTTTTCCCTTGGTATAAAGTTTAAAAGAGCAGACACCTTCGAGTAAATAGAAGTGATTTTATACAAACTATTAACAACTCGCAAAACGAATTTGTCATGAACACGAGGCTAGCATAGATTTAAATTCTTGCTCAGGCAAAAATAGAGCTCCAAGATGTTCTTTAAAGATCTTTAATAATTTAATCCAAATGTGCCAAATGTACATTTTTACAGATTCATAAATTTAGCCATTTCAAAAACTAGGCATTAATAAAATTGGAAGTTATATAGTTAATTTAATTTTTAAAATTTATATCCAAAGTTTCACCAAGACTAAATTATTAACCCTGGTCTCCTACACTATATTGAATTTACATCTATTCAAAGTCTCCTTAAATTATAGATTAGCATACAATTTTTCCATAGATTGAACATTCATTGTTAAAATTGTGAGTACTCATAGACCCAAACAATTATACCAGGTTAAATTCAATAAACATGGTATTTCAGTAAATATAAATATAGAGTTTAAAAAATATTTACAATGATTATTATTTTAATTCCCTATACTATATATATATTTTGTATGTGTCAAATTACTCTGCTTCATTTTTTTCATAGTGCTTCTCTCTCTCTTTCTCTCGCTTCTATATTGCTTTCTTTACATAATTGAAATAAACACAAAACAAATTGTTTAAATTAGAATATGTCAAGGTAGAACAAATTACAATGTTCAGACTTTAGAAATGAAATAACCCTACTGATAAGGGAATTATAGATAAATGCAAATATTGGTGCTGAGAAGTAAGAGATAACAACTAGGTGAACTTCAAGAGCATAATAGAATCTCCCCTTAAACGTAGCACGGGTTAAGAAAACTGTGGACACAGACCGAAATAAAAATGGATTCTAAATAGAGATCCTGCAAGAGGGAATAGGTTAGACACTCATCCCACACTTAATGCAATCCTACTCTACTTCCTGCTAAGTCCTGAGGACATGGGACATGTGAAAGAGTGAAACACACCCACGCTTCTAGACAAGATCGGTTCTTAGACATAAGGACACATAACTGAGTCAAACGATAAGGACTTGGCATAACACAGTGAACCTTTGCAAAGTGTTATGTTTCTTTCCCATTCAATAAAAACACTAGAAGGAGAATCATCCCAGGGAGTGTTAAAGAATTAGCATAAATATGTAACATTTCTATATTTATTGAGGACAAAAGGAAACAAGGTGGCCACTTATCCCTTTCGAAAATAAGGGGCATGAAATGCTGTACTAAGCTATGACATAGAATTTTCTTTACATTAATTAGCACCTGTGCACAATAAAATTGTATAACTCAAATCAGACGACAACCCTCCATCCTCGCCCCCCGTGTATATGTGTGTGTGTGTGTGTGTGTGTGTGTGTGTGTGTACACTGGTCTGGAACTTACAGCAATACTAGTAGCTGGGAGAATCCTATATAACCTCACTACTGAAAACATTTAAATATATTTTTCTCTTCATATGGAAAGAATGAAGTGTATTCATGCTGTATCCACAGAGGTTCAAAGCAGATGCTTTGGTTTCCAGTAACCCTGGAGTCACATCCCAGTTACAGGACTTGCTAACTGTAGGACTTTAGACAAGTTACAGAACCTCTTTTTGCCCACTTTCCTTATCAATGAAATAGGGGTAATAAAGAGATTAAGTAAGATAATCATTCTAAAGCTTTTAACGTATTTCTCGGGCCATATGGTTACCATCAACTAAATATTCGGTATTGTTGTTACTAAGGTGATTGATAGTAATCTATTTGAAGCATATAATCGACCAAAACAGAGTTAAATCATGCTAAAGTGAGGGAAAGGAAGGAGAGGAAAATACAGAAATAACAACCTAGTCCAGAAATTGTTCAGAGTTAACAAGTCATTATTCCACTTTTGTTTAGTAAGTGAAAATGCAAAAGACAACAGAGCAAACTAGCCAGTAATATAAACTAGCCCACAAAAGTCCTTGGTAGTTGCTATGGATAAATTGGTGATGAATGCAGTTTGAGGCTTTGTGAAGTAATTCTGAAAACCAATTCTACAAAGTGGTAAATGGTAGTTTTATGATATTGTGGTAAGCTCTACTGGTTGCATATTCTAAAGACTCAATTATAAGAAGATAGTATTAGGAAAATCATTTAAAGACATGTTATTATTGCCAGCACTTATACATGTAGCTCATAAGTGTTGTTCAAAATAAATGAAATTTCAGAGCACTTAAAGGTTTTTCATTATTTTCATTTTCCCCATAAAAGTTCAATGAAAGTACTGTGGAATCTAGCAAATGCATTTAACACACTTCTATGAAGTCTGGGAGTCCTATCCAGTTTGGACAAACTTTCTCTTTTCTAATCAATTACTAGATGAAATGTTTTTTGCTTATCCAACAATGCCAAATTGGCATATTTGTCTACAGAACAGGCCCAATTAATATTAATAAATGCTGATAAAATGAATTACACATAGCAAATACTCTTGATTTCTGTCTCAGTGTTAACAGCTTTAAGATAGAATCAAATATATTAAACAAAATAAATATATTCTCCATTTCGGCAATGTCAATCAACAAATTATTGTAAATAAAATTATTTTAAGTGAAAATATTAATGTTTCAAAAGCAAATGCTGGCTTAAATGATCACTGTCATCTACTAATACAGAACAGATGCTTTTTATTCTTTTTTCACACTGTATTCGATTAAAGAATGACATACAATAATCATTGAATAACTACAGAATCTTAGGGATTTAAGCAAAATAAAATGAATTCCAGAATGATGTGAATATAGTGTTTCCTTATTTCTATTCACTAAATGCTAATGCTAGCATGTTCACACTCTAATATAAGAAAATAATGGTCTTATTCTACCTCTTTGGTCTATCTTTTATAAAGTTCTGGGTTATATTAAGGAATATTTACTCTTCCATCTTATCACTCCAGGCTTTTTGTAAAGTAGCTAACCTAAGTTTTTATAAGTCTGTGAACACAGAGACAAAACCTTTTCAGGTAAGACCTTAGTTTCAAAAGAATTGTGTTCAAATTTGCTTCACTGTGGTTATTGCAGATGATGACCCAAAAATGGAGAGATAAGACCAGAGTCACAAACACTCACCACAGTTGGCCTCGTCTGATGCATCTGCACAGTCTGGATCCTCATCACAAACCCACAGCTTGGAAATGCAATGTTTTGTAGTCTTACACTGGAAATAGTCTGGAGAACAGCTGTTTTCAGCTTAGGAAAAAAACTGCTATTAAAATGTAGCTTTGGAGAACGTATTTATTTATTAAAAACAAATTTTATAGACAAATGTTTAAGACAGTTTATCAAAAAAATATATTGTCTTTAATAGGACTCTGAAGGTGAGGAATTTTAACTTTTAATTTCTTATGAGATATTCCTGATATCCTCTCCAGTAAAAATAAAGAAAACATATTTTTGCAGTGATACACTGATAAATATCAGAGTTTTCAAAAAAACTGTTGATTAGATATTTGAACACTAATTTTAAGAATTAAGAATTCAGGGACTTTCAAAATAAGTCTTCTTCCAGAAAAAATAAGAATTCATAGGTACACATTTTTGTAAACTCAAAAATACTAAAATTGGAAGGCATTAAGTGAATAAGGAAATAAAAAGTACAAAGTTTATCAAAATGTCTAGGAATTGTGTTGAGTTTTATACATATATGGAGTCTTGCTCTGTTGCCCAGGTTGGGGTGGAGTGATACGGTCTCGGCTCACCACAACCCCCATCTCCCAGGATCAAGCTATTCTCCTGCCTCAGTCTCCGAAGTAGCTGGGATTATAAGCACCTGCCACTGTGCCCAGTTAATTTTTGTATTTTTATTAGAGACATGTTTTCATCATGTTGGCCAGGCTAGTCTCGAACTCCTGACCTCAGGTAATCCACTTGCCTCGGCCTCCCAAAGTGCTGGGATTACAGGCGTGAGCCACTGTGCCCGGCCTGTGTTGAGTTTTTGAGGGAAGTGAACATCCTACTTAGACTGTAAACTGCATCACAAATCCTAGTCAGTTCAATGCATCATCTTCTAGAATGGCTAACCATAAAGAACTGGTACTGACTTTATTCTGAATGCACCCTCTTAATCAAATTGCTGGATGACTGCACATTATTTACTGATAAAAGTTTTAGAGGAATAAAATAAAACTTCAGCAAGACAGAAATGTTGACAGCAGTTCTGTCGAAGCCCTGAAACTTGACAGGTTGCTCCATTGTTCACACAATCTGAATGTGTGAGTGCGTGCGCAAGCATGTGCATGCCAGCCTATGTGCATATATATGTACATGGTATAAACAGTTTTGCCTTCCATTTAACGTAATTTGAATTTTGATGGAAGATGGAAATATGAGATGAAAAGAAACAAAATATTTTACTATCATTCTTTCAAATAGTTCATTAAGATATGTTAAATAGAGCATTATTTAGAATTTTGTAGAAGTTAAACTTTTGTTAGACTATTTTACCCAGATTTTATATGTCTCTTCATGAGTACAACATGTATTTCATGGAGAAAAAAACTCTCTAATTAAAAATAACTTAATTTCAAGAAATGAATTAATCAACTGTCATGTTGTATTTGATGCTTCTCTTAAGGATGATGTGGATGAATGAATGTTGTTCATGTTTGTTATAATTTCCAGGTAGATTTTAAAGTAAACTTGCCTGTATTTTCATTTTCTCTATTTTTATTTAGAGCTTCTATCCCAGTTGGCACCTATTTCTAATTATTTGACCATAATTTATTTTTAATTTATCTACATCATATGAGTTTATGAAGTATAGTAATAATTTTTAGACTTATTTTAGTTAGGAGTCAAAGTTAAGACAAGACAGAGCATTTTGAGCTGACTTACGACAGTCTCTTTCATCTTCCTCATCACCACAGTCATCTTGCCCATTACATCTTAAGTTTACTGGGATACATTTCTGGTTCTTGGTACACTTGAATTGACCTGACAGGCAGACATGTGTGTCTAGAACATAGAGAGAGAGGAAAAAAAAATATGTGTCTGAATTTAAATCGCACAGACATAATCAGTTGAGAATTAGACTTACATTCATTAGTTAGGAATTTAATCACCTACCACAGTTGAGTTCATCAGAATTGTCTCCACAATCATTCTCTCCATCACAGATGAAAGCTGGTAGAGCACAGAGTCCAGTCCCACACTGAAATCGGCCTGGCTGACATTTAAATTCAGCTAGGGGAGAAAGCATAGATATTGTGGAATGGCAATCTTACCTCACAACTTCTTAAACACAGACTTTCTGGCATTCAAGATATTTACTATAATAAATATATCCTGGAACACAATGTGAATGTCTCTCATCTCGATAGCTATCAGATTCCAATGTTTAGCTCTGAGCAACTCAGATGGCTTCCAGAAAACATTTAATAAACCATACTTTAGAAGGTAGGAATTAATAATAGACAAATATTTTTTAAAAATATTAAAAAACAAAAGTGTCCTAATTTTAATGAAGTGATATTGAGAGGTTAAGTTGCAGAATGAAATTTATTGTAACAAAATCTGTTATTCATTCCAATATCATTTTTTGAGAAATAATTTTTCCTTGATCACTTGGCCTATGGTGCGTGTGATTTGACCACAATGCATATTCTTTCTTTTCTTTTTTTCTTTTTTTTTTTTCCTTTTTTCCTTCTGAGACAGAGTCTTGCTCTGTCGCCCAGTCTGGAGTGCAGTGGTGTGATATTGGTTCACTACAACCTCTGTCTCTTATGTTCAAGCAATTCTACTGCCTCAGTCTCCCGAGTAGCTGGGATTACAGTCACCCACCACCACGCCTGGCTAATTTTTTGTATTTTTAGTAGATATGGGGTTTCACCATGTTGGCCAGGCTGGTCTCGAATTCTGGACCTCAGGTGATCTCCCCACCTCGGGTACCCAAAGTTTTGGGATTACAGACATGAGTCACTGCACCTGGCCCACAATACATATTCTCTAGCACAATGTAAAGCAAATGTTTTCTATATCTATCACATTTTAAATCAGATTTATCAATATTCATCCCTATAATCCTATTATTATACGAGAGAAAAATATCTTATAATGGCAAATATTTTATATACTATACATATATTATAACAAGTAACTCCTAAGTGATAATGCATTTTATCTTATCGTATTATCTGGGAATAACAATAATAAGGCAGGATCTGCTGAGGATCTACTATGTGTCAGGCACTGGGCTAGACCCCTTCACATACAGTTACTAATATCATCTCGTCATAACATTCTCATTTTGGCATCACCATTTTAGCAATGAGTAAACTAAATTTACTGAATATGAATAATTCATCTAAGTATGCACAACTTTGAAGTGTCAGACTCTGAATTCAAATCTACTATGGTGTTTGCAATAAAACACTTATCTTTTGACTAATAATTTTAATGAACATTACTGATTTTGAGATTAATATTATCTTTATTAGCGCAAATCAGTGAATCAAACACTAATAAATAGCATTTAAACTTTTTTTGATAAATAAATTATGCTTTTATAATTACAATATTACATAAAAATTTAAACATTCTTTTAAAAATAACTCTATATATGGTTTGCTTCCATGGAAGAGAGTTCTAAAATGTTGAAAGTTATTTGCTTCCAATCTATAACATTTGTTAATTAATCATACTAAATGTTTAAACTGAATGACACAATTATCTCATACTTTAAACATGTGCCTTTCTTCTATTTCATTTTGCTTTGTATATAATTTTCTTTAATACTCCTTTGCTATCAAAACAACTCCCCACCAGGAAAAGGGTTGCAACTATTAAAGGAATGCTTGGAAATAACTTGGAAGCCCATTTGACCTTCAAATCTGTCTCTAGAATAATCTTAAGTGTATTAGATTATTATAAGAAACATTATAACAAATCTGTGATGCCAGATAATTTTGATGCATCCCTCCTAACTACCTTTATATAAATAACAGTATGTAAGTTTGCAAGTATGGGACCCTGGGATGAGACTTTCCTGTCTTCTCAGGTGAAGTTATAAGTATTGCCAGCAGCTCTTATTGTCTGCAGGAATTGATGATGCATCTACCCGAAAGTGAAATCTAAGCATTCCGTAGACTCTTGCATATAATTTTCTACTTCACCATGACTCTCAAGTAAAGTATCATGCCTACAGATATTCAAAGCTGTTAACCCATCAACTACAAGTAAATGTTTATTTGCTATACTAAAAGAAAGCTCACAGAGATAATGAAACCAATAAAAACATTTAAGACTACTGAAGAAAATATAGAGGGAAAGTTCCACGACATTAGTGTAGGTAAAAACTTTTTGGATATGACTCTAAAAACACAGGCAACAAAAGCAAAAATAGACAAATTGAATTACTTCAAATTAAAAAAAAAAAACTTATATACAGAAAAAGAAACAACAGAATAAAGAGACAATCTATAAAATGGAAGAAAATATTTGCAAACAGTACATGTGCTAATGGGTTAATATCCAAAATATATAAAGAATACTCAACAGTAAGAAAAAAAAAAAACTCATTTAAAAATGAGCCGAGGATTTGAATAGGCATTTCTTTAAAAAATTATACAAATGGCCAACTGGTATATTAAAAAATACTCAACATCATTAATTATCAGGAAAATGCAAATAAAACCACAATAAGGTATCATCTTATACCTGTTAAGTTAGGCATTGTAAAAAAAGAAGAAATATAAGTGTTAGCAATGATGTGAAGAAAAGAAAATATTTGTATGTTATTAATTCCTATCCTGACCACTGAAAGTTTCTCCACATTAACAAGAAGGCATCCGTACTGTCTGATCATGTGTTCACTGCAGTAGCATTTTCATTTTCTTTTAAGAACTTTTCCTTTGCAATCATAATTTTGCTGAGTGGTACAAGAAGCATAGCTTTTGGTATATCTCGTGTTTTGAGATGCCTTTCTTGTATTTCATTGGTAGAAATGTAAATTAGTACTGCTATTTTGGGTAACAGTATGCAGGTTTCTCAAAAAATTAAAAATGTAGTGACCATATGATCCAGCAATCCCACTACTAGATATATACAGGCATACCTAGAAGATATTGGAGGTTCAGTTCCAGACCACCACAATAAAGCACATATCACAATAAAGCATGTCATACATTTTTTTTTTTTTTTTAGTTTCCTAGTACATATAAAAGTTATGTTTATACTATACTGTAGTCTATTGAGTGTGCAATGGCATTATGTTTAAAAAAACTGTACAAAATTAAATAGAGTTAGGTAGGGCCTTGCTCTGGATTAGGCTTTGGCTTAAGGAACTGTTGTAGATGACTTCATCTTCTATCCTGACCACTGAAAGTTTCTCCACATTAGCAAGAAGGCATCTGTACTGTCTGATCATGTGTTCACTGCAGTAGCATTTTTATTTTCTTTTAAGAACTTTTCCTTTGCATTCATAATTTTGCTGAGTGGTACAAGAACAATAGCTTTTGATATATCTTGTGTTTTGAGATGCTTTTCTCACTAAGCTTAATAATCTCTAGCTTTTGATTTAAAGTGAGAGACATGAAATTCTTCCTTTTGCTGGAACACTTAGAAGCCATTGTGGGGCTATTAGTTGACCTAATTTTAGTATTGTTGTGCTTAGAGAATAAGGAGGAACAAGGAGAGGGAGAGAGAGAGGGAACAGTGGGTTGGTAGGCAGCCAGAACACACACAATATTTCTTGATTAAGTTTGTTGCCTTTTATGGGTATGGTCTGCAGTGTTCCAAAACAATTACAATAGTATTAATAATGTCAAAGAATATTGATCATATCACCATAACAAGTATGATCATAATAATGATAAAATTGAAATAGTGTGAGAATTACCACATTGTGACAGAGAGACAAAGTGACCACATGCTGTTGAAAAATGTCACCAATAGACAATATTGATGCAGCATTGCCATCAACCTTCTGTTTGTGAAAAATACAGTATCTGCAAAGCACAGTAAAGTACAGCAGAATAAAATAAGGTATGCCTGTATAACCAAAGACAATAAAATCATTATGTTGTAACACTATCTGCATTCACTTGTTCACTGCAGCTTTCTTCACAGTAACCAAGATATGAAATCAACCACAGGGTTCATCAATGGATGAATGAATAAAGAAAATATGGTATATATACATGAGGGAATAATATTCAATATTTTAAAATAGGAAACCCTGTTATTTGTGACAGCATGGATGAACCTGGAGGACATTATTTTATGTAATACCAGCCAGGCAAAGAAAGACAAATACCACATGATCTCACTTATAAGTAGACTCTAAGAAAGTCAAACTTACAGAGACGGAGATTAAAATGATGGTTACCAGAGGCTGGAGATTGGGGAGATTAGGAAGACGTTGTTCAAAAGACACAAAATTTCAGTTAGATGGAAAAAATTACTTCAAGAGATCTATTGTACATCTTGTTGACTATGGTTAAAAGCAATATATTGCACACTTGAAAATTACTAAGAGAATAGATTTTAAGTATTCTCAGCACAAAAAAAGCTAAGTATGTGAGGCAATGCATATGATAAATAGCGTAATTTTGCCACTCCACAATGTATACATATATGATAAAATTATGCTATATACCTTAAATATATAGAAATTTACTTGTCAATTAAAACATGTAGATATTAGTATTTAATCAAAACAAGGATCATAGAGAAGCTCTTAGATAACAGATGTCTCTTAGACAGCAGTGACTCAAAAAGACACTAAAGTAATATTTGATGACCATATATTCTGAAAGGAGTTAAATGTGAAAAATTCCTAATACTACATCGGTAGTTAATTTTTCATATCAATGTGGTTCCAGGATGAAATTTCAGTCAAAATTACAACTAGAGGTCAGGAGCTGCAGGTCATTATAGTGAAATTTTCTCAGAGAACAGTGAATTTAGACAGGAAAGATCATCTTCTTAATTAAAGGATTAAATTAATATATTCATTTTTGTTTATTTCTAAGAATTACAAAATATAAGTTGCATTCAGTGTATTTACTGTTATCATAGAAAATTTACTTTATTGTGGGGAAAGTAATAACTTTCTCTTAATAAGAATCTCAGTAAGGTCACCCAAATAATTTATTCTTCTTCTGATATTCCTTTTAACTTAATAAGTTTTTTGAAAATAATAATTCAGACATTATAGTATACCTATCCCACAGAGATACTACTCTTTATATGTTGTCTATCACAGTAAAAAACAAAAACTGTATTTAAAAAATCAAAGAGCAGTGAATCTTTCAGAAACATAAGGATTATATTAGAAAAGCAATGACTTTTATAATTTTTTTCTTTTTCATTGATTTGATTACTTACTGCTTTCAAACATATATGCTATATGAAATAATTTCAATGTGTGACAGACTTGGGCATGACCAGAGAGACGGAATATAGCCTATCTAAGTAACTATCTATATGCCCTAAATTTGAAAAAGCTTTATAATAAGGTGGTAGCAAGCTCTACAATAGAAGGTAGCCAGCTTTTTCTGTTTTTTTTTTTTTGCAGTGAAAGCCTAAGGATTTTGAACTCAATTGTCAAGGCCAAATCATGGCAACCATGTACTGGGATGTTGAGGGAATTATCATGATTGACTACGAGCATCTCTAACCTGACAGTGAAGTATTGGAGTGACCGACGGAGTGAAGTACACAAGACTATCAAGGAAAAGTCTGCTGATGTCTCATTACAACCAAAGTTACCAACGATTGCTGAAAAAGCAGCAGCTAACCACACCAATTACAGTCAAATGCCAAACATAATTGGTAGTCACTTTAGAGCAATTGCTAAGAACAAATTAAACTACCTAATGGCAATCTAATGATTTATATTGGAAAAATCAGACTTTTAAGGAATTTTCAGGATTTCAATGCTGACAGTAAAGTTGAAAAATCACATTTCTTAAAGATTTCAGTCATTGATATTCTGGAAACTTGCCCATTTTTTCTTCTAACTTGGTGACATGTTAAGTCAAATTAATGCTGCTTATTACCCTACTGATCACTACATGAAATAATGTCATTATTCCACAAGTAATCAAATTTGAGAAACAAAATCTAACACAAATGGTTGATGGCACCATTCTAAATGTAACAGTTATCAGAGAGATAATCAAAATATTGCAACAATTTTTATTTTATTTTTAAATAATAGCATTTAAAATTTTTCTATTTCAATTTTGGAAAAGTGTCAGAAGGCAATACTTTAGGTGTAGTTTCAATTTTCCAGGTCTGGGATATAAGGGACTCTAAACTCTAAATTTCAACATTTGCCAGTATACTCACGACAGTCATCAGGTTCATCAGATCCATCACCACAGTCATCCACAGTGTCACATTTCCACCAGAATGGAATACATTTGTCAGTTTTGCAACGAAACTTTAAAAAGAAAAAAAAGAAAAAAGAAAAAAAATGTTGAAGAACCCAGTGCCTATATAATGGATATTTTAAAATTTGGCAGCATAGCCTAGTCTATATTTTTGCTGCAAATGTGAACAATGGTGATTTTGGATAATTCCACAATAGGAACTAATTACACAACAAGCTACAAGATGATCTTCCAGGACAGCATATTGTTCAGGAAAACCTCTTGAGATGACCTGCAAACACAGACAAGCTCTCACATTTACATGTTGTCTAAAGAGCTAGTTGGTTTTGTGGTTGGTTGGTTGGCTGGTTGGTTGAGATGGGGTCTTCCTCTGTCACCCAGGTTGGAAGGCAGTGGTGTGATCTCAGCTCTCTGGAGCCTCAACTTCTTGGCTTCAAGAGATTCTCTCACCTCAGTCTCTGGAGTATTTGGGACTATAGGTATCTGCCACCTTGCCCAGCTAATTTTTGTATTTTTTGTAAAGATGAGGTTTCACCATGTTGCCAAGGCTGGTCTCAAACTCCTGAGCTCAAGTGATCCTTCCACCTAGGCCACCCAAAGTGCTGGATCACAGGTGCAAATAAATCACCGCACCAGCCCTGAAGGGCTACTTGTACACTACAGCAGCAGACATGCATAGTTGCTACAGAGATCCTGTGGTCTGAAAAGTCTACAATATTTACTATCTGGCCCTTTACAGGAAAAGTTTGGAAAACACTAAATAGGGCTAAAAACTATCAGGAATATCAGGAAGTGATATCCAGTCAAACTAATTTAGGTACTTTGAATTAATTTAATTTAATTGCATTTTATTCAGAATCTTGGGCAATTCAATTAACATCTCTCAGTCTGTGTTCTTTAGCCACCAAAAGAGGATCTGAAGATAATCTGAAGTAACTTTTCCAGCTCTGTCATGCTGTGATTCCATAAACATTCCTGAACACTGAAAATACTGCCTTTAGCCATGATGAGTATGTGCCCCACATAAATTTTAAGAATATCTCTTTAAAGCATTTAAGGCCAACACAGTTCTTTTCAGTTTTCAGAATTCCTAATAAATGCACACGATCTTTTAGGACAAAGAGAAATTCTGATAATTTTTTAAAAAGAGGTAAAAATAAGGCTCAATATTTTTTTTTTACTGACTTAAAAAATTGAATGCACAGAAAAAAACTCTTGTAATAAAACTTGTTCTCCAGATTACCTAAAAAAAAAACCTATTCACCCAAATATTTATTAATATGTTTTATTTGTTGTATTATCCTTTCCACTTGAAACAGCTAAACAAAAAGTCATGAGAAAGGCAATAATTCTATTATTTATAAAATGGAAATTTTAACTCCTCCTTTTAAAAATTAACTACTGAGTGGCAGATTAATACTAGAGAAAGTAAGTGAGTTATTATATGCCAATATTTATTTACTTACAAGCTATTTAGCATGCAAGTGACTTGATACTGGAGACAAACTATAGGAAGTTATTATTGCATACTACTGTTACGAGAAAGGTGATTTGAACTCGAATGTAGCTGCTGAGACAGAGTAATTATTGTTCCTATTAACTTCATTATTGCCCAAATATAAACAGTGACCAAAAAGCTCAGTTCAGTTATGTTTTAGTAATTTATGACCATAAACTAATTACTTTCTCAGTACCACTCAGCGAGAAGGAACTAAAGACAAAAATCTCACTTTCCATTCAGAGCACATGTATCTGGAGTAGCTGTCACTAAAAAAACAAAAATCACATGAAATTAGTTAAACCAAGCAGTATGTAACGTTTAGTCGCTTTCTCCTGGTATATCAAATTATTTCCCTCTTCAATTTAGCAGAACTTCATTGAAAAGCATATATCACAATATTCATCTGGAATTAAAAATATTTCTAAATGTTAATTGAGATGATTTTCTAAAAGTTACTAACTTCTTTTAGAAGTGCTTATGTTGTTATTCCCATATAAGTGACTGACAGCAAGCTGGCATTTATCTTAGCATGTTACATACAAGAAAGATTTGTAACAGAAAACTATAGCCTAGGCTGAATTATTACGAATGAAAATAGAGTAACAATCTAAAGGTTTGTTTATTTAGAATACTGTTACTTTCTTCAAATAAGAGATTATTTGATGTTGGCTTTTGCTAAATTTGTCTGGATATGATGGACTGGATTCATGATAGATTTACATCATTTAAAAAATATGAGTGTGAATTTTGTCTCCCAGTGGCAATACAAGAAGGAACAGAGCTCTATGAATCCAATGGGAGATCTGACTGTTCAACTGATTTTTCCATATTTGCTTAGCTTGTACATTTCTGTTGTGTGTGTGGTTTTTTGCTTTTTTTTTCCCATAAAATATGAGAGGAGAAAACTTACCTTTATAGATAGTGACTGTCTGGGGATACGAGGGAAAGCAGTTACCCTTAACATTAAATATTTCTAGTCATTACATTATATTAAAACACATTAGTAGGAGAACAGCAGGTCTCCTGAGTATCCTCAAAGTCTTTCCAATCATGATTGGAAAAATATCTAAATTGCATATATTTTTTTATTCACTAAATGAGCCCGATTTAAATAAACATGAACTGTTGGAATTATATATGATATAATGATTTTGCTCTTCATTTGACTTTGATAATAACATTAAAGGGTTTTGAGTTAAGGGAGGCCAGGGTAAAATATACTTATCTTATTTTTCATGTTAATCAATATTTTATTCTCACAGGAAGATCTCTTCTGTTTCATATCTTAGCTTCATTTTTACATACTTAAATTCAGTAACTTAAAAAAGATTAATGCTAAATATAAATATAAAACAGTCTTCATCACAAATGTTCTCTAAGATTAATATCATCATAAAATAAACTGTAGACTGTAATTATCACCCACAAGAAAAAGCTATAAAGAAACTACTAAATATGTGTCTACTAATATGAATACCAGGATAAAATGCAATCCCAATATGGTGAAGTTTAGTTGAAACAAGAAGAGTCTCTATTTTAAAGCTTAAGTGAAGCCATTTTTAAGTTGAGTTTTTTTCTAATTAAAATGATTTTCATTAAATATTTGAAATGACTAATGTTATATGAATTGAACTTAATCTTAACTTTTATTAGATTATCAGACTATGTTTTCAATTCTAATAGAATTCTTATTGATGTGATTTGCCTGTTTTTTCCTAAAATAATACTATTTGGTGAACATGTCATTTGTTGACAGTCATTAGATGATATATCAAAATCCCTATGTAAGAATAAATAAAGAATGCAAAATTTTCATCAAAATACTTACTAGCATGATTGTAAACTGCCTAGATAATTTGCTTCCTTTAAAGGTCTACCTCACTGAAGATCATGTTTCTACAAACTGATTTTTCTCCAAGAAGTATACAAGAGACAGATTTTCCTCTTATTAGATCAGAAAAAAACCAGAGGTAAAATGGTCTCACAAACGAGAAAATTTACAGGGATAACCACTTAACACTTTGCATTACCTGTTCTTCATTAACTTTTTTTCTTTCGTTTTTTATTTGTTTTTATTTTTTGAGGCAAGAGTTTCACTCTGTTGCCTAGGCTGGAATGCAGTGGAACGATCTTGGCTCACTACAGCCTCCGCCTCCTGGGTTCAAGCAATTCTCATGTCTCACCGTCCTGAGTAGCAGGGATTACAGGTCCATGCCACTACGCCCAGCTAATTGTTAATATTTTTTAGTAGAGATGAGGTTTCGCTATGTTGGCCAGGTGGCTCTCCAAATCCTGACCTCAAATGATCCACCGGCCTCATCCTACCAAAGTGCTGGGATTACAGGCGTGAGCTACTGGGCCTGGGCAATTAACTTTTTCCTTGAAGATGAAACTAATGAAGTGATACCTCCTCTTTTCCAGTTGTTTTCAGAAATATGGTTGAAAAGTATTGTCCACATTTGGATTTGTTTGCTCTGTCTTGCTATTGTTAAGTTTTTAAAAATTCATGATAGACTATTGGGGATATTTAAAAATTATAAGTATTTTAGTGTTGTCATCATGGATACCAAATTGGGAAATAATTTTATTAGATAAATAATACTTTCAGGGTGAATTAGGTTTTCATTTATTTGATTAATCTAATTTGTTGGCATTGGATAAACAATTACAGATTTTCATATATAATATTTTAAAAAATGTTATCCCTTTGATGCCTGTAGTGAGTCTGATGTTTTACTCTCTGTGCCTTGCTATTTGAGATGTTCACCTGTGTTTCAAAGAATATCGTGATTTTGCTCTATTTTTAGTTGGCTATTAAACCATCGCCACTGTAGTGACTCAGGCAGGCATCATCTCTACCAAGCCAGTGACAGCCTCAGTTTTGGGCCTCAACAGACTGATACATGTATGATCACTCCAAAGCAAGAGACCAAAGATTATTTTAGAATAACCTGAGTGGATGCTACCTGAAAATTTGACTAAATAGCACCAATAGTATTGATAATGCTATTTTAAAATATTAAGAAATGTTATTTCTCTCTTTAATTTGACCACTAAGAATAATTCAATCACTAATTTTATCTCTCATAATGGCTTAAATTTCCAGCTCTTTAAAAATAATATTTTTTACACAAATACTCAGGGACGTATAATTAGAATAACACATTTTGTAATAAAAGCAGGGTCTATGGCTTGTGCTTTCAATGAGTCATCAGAATGTCCTGAGAGCAGCTCACACTACACACATGACTTTTTATGTAAATTTTAGCTACAGTATACAACAAGAGTAATAAAAAAAGCTACTACGTACCAGGGACTTTTCCCATTTAATCTGTATATGGCTTAGAAACAGTATAATCCCATTTAAAAGATGAGAAAACCAAGGTACCAAGAAGTAACAAACTCAATTTAAAGTTGAGTCTGGGTTATGATCACAGAGGGTCTGGCTTCAGAGTCTATGCCCTTAACCTCTACACATTCTGACTCCCTGAAAAAGTTCTAGTAGTTGTTATTTATGCAGTTCTTTCGTGTATGATAGTCCTAAATCTAATCTGAAAGGCAAGCTGAGCTTAATTTAGCTTCTCCATTTTGAAGATAGAAACAATCTAAGAGAAATTCGGTCTCTTGCAATGAAACCACTGCTAGTAACTGGAAAATTAGCAAATTCAAACACAGGATTCTAAAAATAAATTCAGTCATTTAAAAGACAAAATATAGTTTGACAGTTTTATCTTAAAACCAACAAGATAGTGGCTCATGTGTTACAAAGTACAGTTTTATAATGTGATATGACTATTGTCCAAAATTTGAAAGTAATAAAATCAAGTCCATGCAACTACCATACAGTAGACAACTTAATTCCTGGGATATCTTCAACTGAAAATAATTAAGTTTTAAAGAAAAAGAGGTTTCAGAAGAAGCTATTTTGATCATATAATTTATTTTAATAAAAACAAAATCTAGAGACTTACTCTCTATTTATCTTTTCCAGATCACTAACTCTAAGAAATGGAAAGTGGGGACAGTGACATAGAGCATATTATCTGGAGAGATTTCCTGCTCTGTTTAAACTCCACCTCCTTTTATCTACACCATTCCTCAATCACCTTATTAAACTACACAAATCTCCTCTGTTGTTGCTGTTGTGCCCACTTAGGATTGGAGTCATTATTTGTGTGGATCTGTGAAATACTTTTTTCTTTCTCTCTCTTTTTTGTTTGTTTGTTTGTTCGTTTCCTTTTTGGCCTTTATTTATTCTTCCTAATGGCTAAGGCCCATTTTAATGAGGTGTTATAGTGCTTTTCCTTTATTCTGTGACCATCTCTACAATGTATGGAATGATCATTCAATGTTATGCTAAACAAAAGAACTGATGTTTCACCATATACCCTATAAGAAGATTCGCAGACCTCCACTCACCTGGCTGGCTGTGCAGTTGGATAAGCAAGTCCTATTATCAGCTGCCAGATAGAAGTTGGTGGGACATGCACAAGTGTGGGTTTTTCCAGGGGCTAAAAGGCACAGATGACTACAACCACCATTATTTATCATGCAGAGATGTTTGGAGACTACAGATAAGAAAGAAACAACAACAACAAAACAGGATAATCAAAACTAATAATATAGCATGGGATTAGAGATAGGACATTTAAGCTTCATAACTTGAATTGGAATAAATCTTTGTAATCAAGAACTCATCAAGACTATAAATATAATTTTACTTTGTCACAAACGCTACTCATTGTCCATTGACATTAATTTGACCATTCAATAATTTTGAAGGTGCATTCTACAAAACAAGAATTTTAGTAGGAAAAAACTGTCCATGAGAAAAATAAACAAGACTAAGCATTTTGGATGAAGACAAACATATGTTCAGAAATACAAACATAAAATAAAACAATGAAACAATGATCTACACCTAGGAGTGTGATGGCTTTGCTTTATAGGCCAGATAGGTTTTTTAAGGAAAATAATCAAACCTTTATTTCACAAGGCCAGATGAAATTCCTATTAAACACATGCTGAAGAAAACTTGATAGAGTTGTCAGTTTTAAAACCTTAGAGCTACTTAAACATAATTCCTCCTACTGAGCATTATAGAAACTAAGGATCCTCTATTTTGTAAACAAATTATTTCAAGAATACAGTCTTCACTTATCTGACTAAATGCATCATTATCATTTTAGCTTTATATTAGTTGAACAAATCTACAATTCTTTGTCCTATTATTGAGCTTCTATCATATGCCTTAAGAGCAGTACTTCATATTGATTGAATTCTTCCATAAAGTGATGCTAAATAATTAAATCTAGTAAACTTCATCAAAAATAAAATTACATTTAACCTTGAAAGAATAAAAAATGGAATGTTACTGAAAGATGTTAATGCATTTATGGAATACATGGAAAGAATAATTACCATCAGGTTGTCTATAAGAATGATACACCTGGATATCTGTGATGGCATGCCATGAGTTAATCAGTGAGAGTCTGTCTGCTCCCGATGTTTTATGGGCACGGCTGAGTGACTTGGTTTTCCCATCAGTCCAGTAGATGTAGTCTTCAAACAATGTTAGTGCAATCACCCCTGGAATATCTTGATTAGGGACTGTAATAGGAGATGGTAAGATTAATGTTCAGTCTTGGAAGACTGCCAGTTAAAATATTCAATACTACATGGGCTGACAGATACAACTGCTACAGAACTTCGTGTGAATAATTGCTGTGACAACCTGTCAGGCCAGCAAAGTTCTTTATTACCGGTTAAGAGAATGCAGGATTGGGCATAGGAGCTAGCTTTGCTCAGATTTGGCTTGGTTCAATCACTGGAAAAAAAATGAACGTGATTCTTTCACCATTAAAGCCTGCTTCACCAGAAACAAATACCATCCACCATTTAAAAATTCATAATTTATATATATGTGTGTATGTGTGTGTATATATACACACATATTTACATATATACATATATATCTCCTTCTGGTTGTTCTTAACTTAAATACCTAAATCTAAATGTCATTGTCCTACTTTTTTCACACGTAAAATGATTAAATTATAGGTCCTGGAAGAAATGTATCTACTACCTGGAAATAAAGTGGCTGTGAAACTACTATAAACCTTTTCAGCCACTGAGATTTTATGAGCATTTTTACTTGCAAGGTGAGCTGGGATGGGGTAGAGGGAAATAAGTGTGGCAGATAATAATGTATTATGCAAATTTAATGATCATAAAACTGTTTAGGTGCAGATTAAAATTGTTTTATAATTATTCTTTCTGATGTTTAAATGTAAACAGTAGAGTGAGCATCACAAATGTGAATTATTCATTTGAGAGAGTCCAGGGTCCTATCCAGTAAATAAGATATGGTAGATCTGTTCAGTGGTTTGGGTTTAAATAATTTTAAACAGTGATAGAATTTTCTTTGTGCTTCTACTTTCTCAAGATTGACAAATAATAAATGGAGAAGATGAAAATTCCCTAACTTATACAAACATACTATTTTTCTGTATTAATTTTGAGATATACTTTTAGAAATACTGACATGTTAATTAATGGAAAAAGGTATGATATTTCCAGTAATATTTATTTTTTCTTAGATTTTAATGACTGAAAATTAATGTATGGCATATTCCTCATTTAGTAGTAACTAAAAAACTATCAAAATTTCAAATACAATTTAGTATTTACAAGAAGCTTTACAGCCTTATTTTTTAAAGCTGAGTAAATTTGTATTATCAACTAAAGCAGATATTCTAATTTTTTTATTTGTTATTTGTATTCTGATAGGCCAAGTGTTATCAGATAACTCACTACAACTAAGAGAGAATAGAAATAAAAGAAATAAAATTAGAAACCTCAACATAAGTCATATATTAAGTCACTGAATACTATTTCTAACATAAAATCTAGTTAGAAATTCATCTCAGAACAGATACTATGCATATGAAGGATGTAAACATTTTTAAAATCCAGATTTGTACACTTTAGATGTTTTGAATTTTGATGTAAAAATCTAGATGTGCACACAACTTAATTATTTATGTGCTCTTGCAGATATATATATCATTACTAAAATAAATAAGTGAAATTAGATAGAATGAAAAGAAGGACACTTTACTATAATTAATTACATGTGAGCTATTTATACAAACTAATCCCACCATTTTTCTTTGACTTTATAAATTCATACAAAAAAGATAAAATAAATGTTGCAAAATGTTAGTAATTAATTGAATCTTGGTGATGGGTGATTATTATAAGATCCTTTCACCTTATAGATAGATTTCAAGATTTTTAGAATAAAATAAAAATTTACTGGAAATGTTGAAAACCTCAAAACATTTAATGTGAATCTCGTTAGATGCAAAGGTGATAGTTAAATCATTAAATATGGGCTCAAAAAGTTAATCATTATTTTTAAGGACCTCAATCCATGAGAGATTTAATTTACTTATGTAAGAAAGATAAAGTTATTGCAAGAATCTGCCAGTTAGCACATCAAAAGTAACAGTTTTTAAAAATTATTCAGCAGTAACTACAGGTGATATTTATTAAGCACTTGGGTGCACTAGAACTAGGCCAGTGGGAGAGGCAATTTATATATTTTATTTTATTTTCTATTATATTCTTAAAAACTCTATTGTGCAGTAGTAGTGATATGGTTTGGCTCCATGTCGCCACCCAAATTTCGTGTTGAATTGTAATCTCCAGCGTTGAGGGAGGGATCTGGTGGGAGGGGATTGGATCATGGGAGCGGATTTCTCGCTTGCTATTCTCCTGCTAGTGAGCGAGTTCTCACGAGATCTGGTTGTTTTAAAGTGTGTAGCACTTCCCCCCTACACTCCCTCTCTCCTGCTGCCATGTGAAGATGTGTTTGCTTCCTTTTTGCTCTTCTGCCATGATTGTAAGTTTTCTCAGGCTTCCCCAGCCATGTCTCCTGGACACCGTATGGAACTGTGGGTCAATTAAACATTTTTTCTTTATACATTACCCAGTCTCAGATAGTTCTTTAGGGCAGTGTAAGAACGGACTAATACAAGTAAAGTTCATTTTGCAGATGAGGAAACTAAGATGTGGAAAATTTAAGTAACTTGGCAAAAGAGGGGTAGAAAAAAGCTAGTAATTAAAAGTACTGGTATTTGAATCTTAGCTGTCTCCGGAATGTGCTCTCTGGCCATGTTATACCCTTCCACCATGGGACAACACCATTAGCCAGTGCCATGCTCTTGAATTTTCCAGCCTCCAGAACCATGAGCCAGCTAAACTTACTTTCTTTGTAAATTACCAAGTTTGTAGTATTTCATCATAGCAACAAAAACCAGACTAAGACAGGAAGTACATGGAGCTAATAAAAATAAACATGAGATGTGAAGGTATGAGAAAAATGTTTAACAAACAAACCCTTAACTAATGCTGAGATGTGGTTACGTTTAGGGGAAAAGTAGTCAATGTTGCCTAAAAATGATGATGACTATCATTTTTAAGAGAAAAGTTATATGACCAGTTGTCTATATAAAACTGCATTTGCTTAATAGAAAAACGTGAAAAGTACATTTAATAAGTCTTTCATTTACAGGTATTCAGTAGACACACAAAAAAGAATAAACAGAGCTGCTATGTGGGCTGTAGTTTCACTGACTATATATCTAAAGCCTATTTTATAGCTGCTTACTATAGTTAAGTCTCTATTCGGTGTAACAGCATTATATATTGTAATTTTTCCAGAATTCCACTCAAACACTAAGTTCCTAATTTTTATTTCATAGACTATATCATTCAGAAGAAAAGGGTTGATATTTGGCAAAAACAAATAAATCAAATAAATACTCCTTTTGGGAGTTTTTCCCTTTGAGTCGAGTTGGATGTTATCCTGCTAAAGCTCAGTGTAATTACGACAAATAGAAAAGGTGGCCATCGCTTGAACCTAGGAGGCGGAGGTTGCAGTGAGCCAAGATTGCACCACTGCACTCCAGCCTGCGTGACACAGCAAGAGTCTGACTCAAAAAAGAAAATAAAAGAAAGAAAGAAAGAAAGAAAGAAAGAAAGAAAGAAAAAGAAAGAAAAAAAGAAAAAGTGGCTATTCAGAACATGGTTTTGCCTTAACTGTTGCCTCACAGCTCGATATACTCTATTACAATACTCTTGATTATTCAATTTTTTTTTTTTTTTTGAGACGGAGTCTCGCTCTGTCGCCCAGGCTGGAGTGCAGTGGCCGGATCTCAGCTCACTGCAAGCTCCGCCTCCCAGGTTCACGCCATTCTCCTGCCTCAGCCTCCCGAGTAGCTGGGGGACTACAGGCGCCCGCCACCTCGCCCGGCTAGTTTTTTGTATTTTTAGTAGAGACGGCGTTTCACCATGTTAGCCAGGATGGTCTCGATCTCCTGACCTCGTGATCCGCCCGTCTCGGCCTCCCAAAGTGCTGGGATTACAGGCTTGAGCCACCGCGCCCGGCCAATTATTCAATTTTTTAGATAGCATTTATAATGCTAAACAAGTATATTCTTGGGTAATATCATTCTAAATTTGTATTTCTGACTAATCTAGTTTAAATACTTAAGAAACTAATGCCCCAGTTACACAGTTCTTAGCTTTTCTTGAGTTAAAATCTCATAGTTAGTGTTATGGGAGGATACAGCATTAGGATATTGATAGCTTTGACATGGTTTTCTGCACTGAGTATGTCAATAGACATTTCACTAGTAATACTATCTTATTTTCCATTCTTTATCTCCCCAGATTTACTTTAAAAGTCTAAATGCTATCTTAAAATATTACTTTATGCCCAGCAATCACTGAAATTTATTATTTAAAAATGACTATAGGCCAAGCGTGGTGGCTGACATCTGTAATCCCAGCATTTTGGGAGGCCGAGGCAAGCAGATCACCTGAGGTCAGGAGTTTGAGACCAGCCTGCTCAATATGGTGGATCCCCATCCCTACTAAAAATACCAAAATAGCTGGGCATGGTGGTGGGTGCACGTAATCCCGACTACTCGGGAGACTGAGGCAGGAGAATTCCTTGAACCCAGGAGGCGGAAGCTGCAGTGAGCCGTGATCATGCTATTGCACTCCAGCCTGGGAGACAGAGCAAGACTCCATCTAAAAATAATAATAATAATAAATAAAATAAAATAAAATAAAAGTTATAAAGTATTCATATTTTCAAAAGTAAAAAGATATAGAATGCAATCACCAAATTATGTTATTATTTTTATGAAGGAATCAAGATTAGAGTAACAGGAGCTTAGAATTGATTTACTTGAGTTATATTTATATATTGATTTGAAGCAAATACCTGAACAATCAGTGATCCATTAAGGTTAACATATCACTCACTCTATGGCTATGTTTGGAAAGGTAATCCCCTAAAACTTTAAAGTTTACAAACATATCAAATCAAACATTAAATCCTACTATCTTTTTCTTTTTAATATATTTAAGACACTCCAATTTTTAAAAATAATTCTTGGTGCCATTATCCCAAGTAAAGGCTTGTATCCCATCACACCAGTAATACAGCAAAATTATTCTAACTTGTCACCTTATTTTTAATCCCTTCCAATCTCTTTTATATTAGAATTGCTGCAGAAAATAGAAAACATATCTTT